TTGACAAATGCCATCCTCTGATTTCAGCTCTGTACACATTCCATTATAAGAATTTGCTCTGTCTTCTTTTATATTTTTTTAAAAAAAATTTCCACTACTTTACTTACAAAATCTGAATACACTGTTTTCAAGAACAAATTCTTTTAGCTGTCCTTTGAAATCATCTTTTCAATCCTTTTACAGCAGCATCTCTTCCCTTTGGCTTCTTGATGCCCTAGTGCAATTTCCAGTTTTTCTTATGACATTCATTTTAAATTTTATTCAGGTATGAGGGCTAGGACTAGTGTGAATCAGAGGCTTGAAGCTAAGTATGCTGGAGTCAATGAGACTGGCTTAGGGTAGGGTAGGGGCAAGACCTATTGTACTATGTGATGAGATGAGCTGCAGGCTACTCATAGCACATAACAACAACAACATCAACAATATAAGGGTGTATTACCAGTTGCCCTTTAATTCATCACAATGTTAAGTAGGGCTGCTCCCAGAACTCAGAATAATAATAGGCACTGACTGATTGGCTAGAATACAAGGGTCCATTGTTTCGATGCTTTTGTAGTAGGGGGATGCAAAGGAAACAATTAACAATACCATAGATGGGATGGGGTACACTTTGGTCTTTAAATTGATACCCTCACTCTTTAGTACTTTAAAGAGTTCTCTGATCACAGGTTTTCCCATTGAACATATTTTTTTGATTTCTTGACTGCTACTACCATGGGTGTTGATAGTGCACCCAAGGACATGAAATTGTTGACCACTTCAGTCTCTTTTCTATTGTGAGGCTGCCTACTGGCCCAGTGGTGAACATTTCTGTTTCCCTGATGTTCAGATGTAACTCATATTGAAGTATGGAAGGCTGTATGTAATATTCATGCTTTATTAGAAGTGCTCCAGGTCTTCTTCGCATTCTGCAAAGTTGTGTCATCTGTATTTCAGGGATTGAGGAATCTTCCTCCAACCCTGTTGCTACATTCTTCATACAGTCCAGCTTCTAGAATAGCATTAACAAACTAATCTCATTTATTCTCCTTTGAAAATATTCTTGAATTTGTGAATGCCTTATCATCTCCACTGCCACCACCTTACTCTAAGTGTTTATCTTCTTTCAGAAAGTCTGTCTTTCTTCTTTCACCACTACAGTGCAGTCTTAACTAAATTATGTTTCCTTTCACTACATATAAATAATACCTTTTTATTATTTCTCATTAGGGTAAAAGTGATACTCCTAGACATGGAAACTGGCCTTCCTCGTTTCCTAAAACGTCCCTCTTTGCCTTCTGACCTATTCTCTGAGTCTAAGTGATCTAAAGGTCAAGCAGGTTTGCCTGACATAAGGACATTTCAGCTGAAATTCAGAGGATTTTAGGTAGAAGCAGGAACTGGAATGAACACTGGGTAAGTACCTTACATAATCTCATTCCTGTTGAGTTGGTTCTGACTTATAGCTGACCCTCTAGGAGATTTCTGAGGCTGTAAACTGCAGGGGAGGAGATTCGCCACCCTTCTCACACAGACCTGCTGGTATCTTCAAACTGACAGAGAAGCATGCAGCCTACAGGTTGGCAGTACGCCTCCCCATGGACTACACCACCAGAACTCACTATTCCAGGCCCTGGGAGAAACTAATTGCCAGGGATTAGGACTGGGATAGGTCTTCAGTGGATACTACAACATGGACTTTGGGAATTGAAGACATGGTGACTATTGGTAATTTCCTCTGTGTGTGTGTGTGTGTGTGTGTATGAAAGGTGACTATGAGTTGACACTGACTTAATAAGGGGTATTTTTTTAAAAAAAATAATTTTAATGAATGTTTACAGATTTTGGATTTCCATATATTCATCATTGTATTTTTCTCCCTGCCCACCCCTCCTCCCAGTTTGCACTTCTTTTTGAAAAGTAAAAGAAAAAATTATTTCACTGGTATAGAATCCCCTGCCTCCTACCCCGAGTACACTCCACTATGCAACCTTCATTCTGGACTCTTGTCATAACCATAATACCCAATCATATACTGCTTTCCAACAATTCTCTCCCTCATCTGTTTCAATGCAGTACACATAATTTTATATAATTTTTCTAAGTCTCTTTCCTGTGAGTACTGACTATATTTTAACATTTTCTTAAAATTGAGAGATCTTTCAGGTGGAAAAGGAGGTGACGGATAATCTTAAAACACAGACATGGTAGAAGAAAATAATTGGACATTTTTGGATTCAGGTGAGCACCGTAGCCTAGTAGTGTTCCACAGTTACTCACACTATAACTTTGACCAAAATTAGTTCACAAAAACAAAAGAAAAAAAATTCATTTGTACGAGATTAAGAGACACTGCAACAGCTTGACTGGTTTTGTTGTTACGGACCTTTGACTTGGAACCAACGCAACAGCTGATTTTCCTGATTTTCCGAGGCAATAAACTGACTGGAAGGAGACTGTCCAGCTTGCTCCTGAAAGCCGGTGGATTCAAACTGTGTGCCTTTGGGTTCATAGTGCAACTCCTTATTACTAAATGCCCTTTTACTAAAATATGTATGTTGTGTGCCTGCTGTTGAGGCAGAACTGACTTAGAGCCGACCCAAGAGCAGGTTTTCAGAGGCAGCAAATCACGTGGGAGGAGACTGCCCATCCTTCTCCAGTGGAGAAGCCGGTGGATTCTAACCTTGTGCCTTTAGTATTCCAGCACAGCTTCTTTAACCCCTATGCTACCTGAGCTCCCTTCAGCAGACTTTCTTGTGAATGCTGTTAAGCGTCTGAGTCAGGATAGACCCATGGCTGAACCTCAGGCAGGTTTTCAGAGGCAGTAAATCACATGGGAGAAGAAAGTGCATCTCTCTCCCATGGAGCAGCTGGTTGACTCCACCCTTGTGCTTTCCAGTTAGCAGCACATCTCCTTACCCCTAAGCCACCAGAGCTCATCCCAGTGGGTTTTAGGAGGTTGTAAACTGTACATCTTTCTTCCCGAGTGGGAAGTATGTTTAGTATGTATGGGGTGTCTGTGTTTTGTAAAATAGTGCTTGACTATCTGAACTTAAAAAAAAATCATGAAAAGTTTCCAAAAACTAGCAGCCAATCTTTTTTTTTTTTTTTTTTTGCAACTATCATCCTCAAGGAGTATTCACGGAGTTGAACTGCAAAGAGTAGTATTTTCTAGCCATCAGAAAGGTTAATCAATTAAACAAAGAGAGAATTGTTTTCAAAACAATTTAAGCCCAGGTTTGGAGGTGAGTTACCATCATACTTGTAAGAGAAATAGGAAAACTGGTAACAGGAAAACATCTTTGGTAATAAAGACTGACAACTTAATTGTTACTTGTGAATTTCAATCCTCTTGTGAGATGTATTGCTGGGAATTAAGCCAGGCAAAGTTGGGAAAGAAACCAATGTTATTAGTGGGGCTACTTAACCTTTCCCCTTAAAAATAGTGTTTCCTTGAGAGGAGATTAAAAGTGGAACAGGGCCTAAGGTTTGGCTTCAGATATTCATGCAAATGAAACACTAACTAAATGTATGTTCCTGTGCAAATCATGGATCATTTATTAATCTTTCTTTTCTCATCTGTACAGTGAAATAGTTTTAACTTCACAGGCAAATTATTCTAAGGAGTATGTGTCTTGGCATTACTTATGAATCATCTAACACACAGTAAGTATTAAAAAAATTTATGTTCCCTATCTTGTTTCTGGAAAATGGGTGGGGGAAATAAATGACCATAGAAAGAAGAAGAAACAAAATACTTCTCTACAATAAGGTAAATTGGGGGATGTTAGGAAAATGGCAACTTAGACAAGTCCTTTTTTTTTCACTCTACTATCACAAAACAATCAACTCCTTCTTAACCAAGAAATAGGTGGTTATTGTTACTGCTAGGTACCACTGAATCAATTAAGATTCAGAGACTCTATGAACAACGAATCCTTGTCCTATCTTGTGCTATGCTCAACATCTCTGATACACTTGAGCCCACTGTTACTGTCACTATGTTAATTCATTTCTTTGAAGGTCTTTCTCTTTCATGGAACTTTAACTTTTAAAAGGATGATGTCCTATAAGCAAAGACCAGCTCCCTGTAAAAACATGCCTAAAATATGTGAGACAAAGTTTCGCAATCCTTGCCTCCAAGGAGCACCCTGGTTGTACATTCTCCAAGGCATGTTTATTGGTTCTTTTGTCAGTCAGGTGGCAACATAGAAGCCTGTTCAGAGTGGTTTACATTATTCTCCCAAACAGTAATGGAAAGATAGAATTTCTTTTATGTATATACACATACACATATATGTATGTTGTTGTTACTGTAGAGTCAGAACCCACCCACAGCTGGCCCTCCAACAGGTTTCCAGAGACAGTTAAACAGACCAGTTTGTGGCCTTGAACTGTCTGCCTCAACTTCCTGCCACTAGGCCACCAGATCTCTCCTATATATAATACATGTATAATAGATATATATCACATAGTCTTTTCAGTTGCTGCCTATGCATCTGAATGTCAGACAGTGAATAAATGGTGGCAGAAGAAGAATCAATGACTATAAACTGTTATTTTGAAGAAGAGAACTGAATACCCCACGGAATGTCAAAAGAACAACCATGTCCGTCTTGGAGGAAGTAAAACCAGTGTGCTCCTTAGAGGCAAAGATGGTGAGACTTCATCTGACATGTTTCAAGCATATTTTCAGGCAAATTGGATCAGGTGCAACTTGGCATTTAAAGGGACACCACTGCTGTGGGATATGCACACATATATGTATACACATACACAAGCAAAAGTCATTGCCGTTGACTTGATTCTGACTCACAGTGACCCTACAAGTCACAGCAGAACTATTCCCATCGGTTTTCCAGGCTATGGAAATCTTTAGGCAAATAGATCATCATACATTTATCCTAAAGATCAAATGCTAGGTTCAAACTGCTGAGATGCTGATTTGCAGCCAAGGATTTAACCTCTTGAATACACAGAGGGTCCACATACAAAATAGCTGAAATAGATGTATTTCATACCTGAGCAATAAAAATATTGGCCATCCACTCCATCTGACTTTGTAAGTTATCACAACACAGATGCCTGCAAAACAAAGTTTGTAAAATGAATAATTCAAAGAAGACAACAGGTTAGTTTCAGGTATATTTGTTGATTCATGATGAGAAATTTCTTTAGGATTCTCCTGATTAATGACTTAATGCAATCAAAAGTGGAATATTTCAGAGCAGGCTGCCTCGGGCTTCAATTAAAGTGCATAATATCAAAGTAACTGATGATATCGTCTTAATTTTTTAAACATACAGCTAAAGGCTTCTTTAAGTGCAGAAAAAAATGATGAGCAACGTTTTTGGAAAGGCAGAAAGGTCAATGTCATTTTGCTTTTTCAGGAACTCAGGAGAACAGTCTCCCTTGCCCCTAGAAACTCAAAGCCTAAGAAGAAAAATATGTGCATATTCTCTGAAGAGCAGATCTTTAAAAAGGTTCAGACACAGTCTCTATCACCTGACCATAAACTAATATTCATAAGTCATAGAAAGTCAGTCACTGCTGTCTCATGGCTCAGAGCTGATTCTCCAGTGGGTTACTGGAAGCTGTAAATTGCACTGTAGGCTACGGCCCATTTTTTCTCACATAGAACAGCTGTGGATTCGAACTGTCAGGGAACATCATAGCCTTGAGGCTAGCTAGAAGCATAGCTCCTAAGCCACTAGGGCTATGGAAAAAAAATTCAGTTCAAAATCCTTGCATTCTCATTAACACTGATTCAATAACCTTGCACTGAAACCTAAATAAAGCAGGAGTGAGTGAGTGAGTGTGTGTGTGTAATGCATGAGGAAGAGCCAGACATGGAAACAAATACAGTGTAAAAAAACTGAGAAAAAGAACAAATAAAACTGAGCTCAAATATGCCAACAGCAGACTTGGGAGGATGTGAGACGAGTTTCCTAGAGGAAAATTCTTCAATGGACATGAAAAAAATCATGGTCCATTTCAGTGTAAACATATTTTTATATTCCCATATAAATAAAAAGAACTTATTTTTTTTAATAAAAAGATAAAAAATTAAATTTCTCAAAAATTCTTGGACACCTTGTCCCTTCCCATGATCAGGTGCAAAGGAACGCTTCTCCCAGAAAAATTTTAGTTACAAATCCACACGGGCTATACATGCAAAGCAGTATAAAGTAATGATTAAAGGTGACAGCTATTTGGTATGTTATTTGGGCCACTTGAGGTGTGCTTTCAAAGGAGAACTACAGTGGTGTCTGTGGGATCTGCAGGGAGTAGATGAAAGGGGTAAGGGAAGAGAGGAAAGGGGGTCCAGTAAGGACACCACACGTAAAGCCCGTGGCTATGAGGCAGTAAGGGATATATGATAAATTCAAGTCAGCACAGTGTTTCATCACTAAAGAAAAAGTCACAGATAAGGTAGATGGAGCCACACATTAAAGGGTCTAGTATTTTACACCAAGAATTTCTTTTTTTTCTTTTTTTTTTTTACTTTATTCTGTGGGTGATAAGGATTGAAAGAAGTTTTAGACAGAAGAGATACAGGATGCAGTGTAAGAATACATTTTTTTACTGGTGACTGGGTGGAAAATCTACTGGAAAGCATAAAGCTAAGAGGCAGAATGCACACTTAGTGACTCCTGAAACCAGAAGAAGGTAAATTAGTGCTGGAAGGCATGGCTCTGGGGAGAAACGGGTGGCTCAGAGAGATAATTAGAAAGCTGAATTGACATGGCTTATTGACTAATTAAGACACAGGTAGGCAAGAGTGTACCACCTCTTTACTGACTAATTTGGCATAGGTAAAGAAGGGAGTAAAATGGACATCTAAGTGGAAACACAATTAGAAAAAGCATATAAGTGAAAATAATTTTGAAACCATGACTAAGTTTTTTGTGGGTTTTATTTTTTTCCTTCTCAAAGTGACTCTTGACTGGTTCTTAACCTTGTTTTATAAAGTAAGATTTTGTCTGCTCTTTATTCCATTAATTCTGGGTGGTGCTGGAGAGAAGTCTGAAACATACCATGGACTGCCAAGAAAACAAATCAGTCTGGCTTGGAGAGGGTGAAACCAAGTCTCTCCTTGAAGCCTAGGATTTTGAAGCTCAACCTTACTTACTCTGGGCACGTTTCCAGGAGAGGTCAGTCCCTGGAGAAGGACATCATGCTCAGAAGGGTGGACGGACAGCACAAGAGAGGAAGACCCTGAATGAGATGGATTCATACTCTAACTGGGGCAATGGGGGTTGGTGTGTCAGAATTAGTGAGACTGGCTCAGGATAGGGAAGGGTTCAGAGCTGCTGTATATAGGGTCGCTATACATTGCAGACAACTCAACGGCACATAACAACAATAACATACTATGACAGGTTTGGAATCAGGAGTGGCACCCACTTCCTACATGACTCTGGAAACTCTATGAAGTTTGATAATGTCAGTAGTCATAGAGGGACTTCAGGCCTTTTGTTCGTAGGCTCGCTATGAGTTGTGCTTGACTCAAAGGCAATCAACAACCATGACTCATAATTATGGAAGAAATCTAATAGATTGCTTTCATGAAGCATTGGTAAGCACAATACCTTCAGTACACAGGTCTGGGAGAGACCTAGAGCCTGACAGAGATCTATTTTCTTGTTTTTAGATTTCAAGTATTTGGAAAAGATTTCAACTTCACTTAGGTGAAACTTTTTTTTTTTGTTTTTTAAATTTTCTGTAGTTCCAAGTACCAAATAATAGTTATTCTTCCACAGATGTTGTCTCTAGTATACCAAATTTGGAAGTGGCCAGCTGTTAACTTACCAGTGATGTTTTTCAGAATATGCTGTCAATCCCCAGCTGTATCACAGAAAGACAGGGAGAGAGAAAGAACACACACTTTGTTAAAATAACAAGGCTGAAGAGAAAAAAAAATCGATGTTCAAGTGCTAATAGTTTAACTAATGGCAGAAATGCACACTACTCTGGATATCCACCACTGATGGTTAAATGGGTACAGCCTGTCTACAGATGAGTATAACCAATGTTGAGCGATTTGCCTACCCATTCAAGTATGATGAAAAGAGTTCCTCAGTGTTACAGGTTAGATGGGGAAGTCTTTGAGAAGATAATCTTTGGTGGGAAATGGTTAAAATAATGTAATACCCCTTTCAACCTACTGATTTTGGAGTAACTGTAAGAATACGCTAAGAAAATTTGCAGATGATCATTAATATCACTAGAAATCACAGTATAGACTGTTCATTAAAGGGAGGGATTGTATAGCAATGAAAGAATTTTTTATTTACTTTTCAAAGAGAAGAGTGATTTGAGATGGAGGGTTGGGTAGGGAGAAAAGTGCAACGATGAATGAATGGAAATCCAATCTCTGTAAGTTATCATCAAAATTAATAATAAATAAAAAAAGAGAAAAATATTTCATTGTACTGGGAAAAGTAAGTGCAATTATATGTTAGCTAAGTAATGCCATCTGTAATAAGAAGGTGTGGTATAAACTATATGGTAAAGGATAATCCAATTTTAAGAAGCTCTTTAAGTAGAAGATGGGTCTTGTCTCTCACTACCCTATATATGCTCTCTATTCTGTACCAAATGTGGTAGCTTGAATTGAGAGTGCCCACAAGGAAAATGAGCAAATTACAGAGCCATGATCAGAACCTTCTAGAAGCCAGGCAGCACACCCCTAGGCTGGAGGCATTTGCTTTCCTGTGTGTAGAACTGCTTGAAACTTGCTGTCTATTCCCCAGGCTGTGAATGATCAAAGAATGGGATGCAGAGGATCCAGGTGCTTCTCAGAGGCAAGGCCTCCTGGGGATTTTTGTCCTTACACAGGGAGGCTGTATAAACCCAAAGGTTTGCCCTGAATCCCAACAGGATTATTCTTTTTTGCTTACCTACTCACACATGTTCCCTTGCTCCTGTAGTAAAGCCCCTACTATGGAAAACTACACTCAAATGGGCTAAAAAAATATTTTTTAAGAAAAGTATCAATGCTTCTCATCCCGAAATCCTAAAATATTTCCCATATGTTCTCCTCAATAACCTTGTCCTTTCAAAGTTTACCTTGTTGGGGGCTTCATTTTCTTTTTCACTCCAAGGTAAAACTTCATTGAACTGAGAGAAAACATTCTGTCATGTTTACTACTCTGTAAGTAAAAGGAAACAATATGCAGTTAGATAAATCTCATGAATTTTATCATTTTTCCTTGTGTGTTAATTAGGTTTAGAATTGCTTAGCTTCTCCAAGGTTTCATGTGCAAAATACTGGTTTTTGTTAATGAAGGCTGTCTAACTTAGTTACCAATTTAAATTTTATAATTTTGTAATCTATACACACACACACACCACACACACACATATTTTTGTGCAAATGTAAACACATTGTATAGATAAATACACCATTATATTAAAATTTAGAAGTCTATAATTCTTTAGTCACAACGGTTAGGTTTCCTTTACAAAAAACTTTAAAGATAAAAGTCAGATACAATTCCATATATTATATAACTCTACTACGTTACTATGGACTGCCAGAAAAATAAACAGATACATCTTGGAGAAAGTGAAACCAGATTGCTCTTTGGAGATAAGATGGCAAAACTTTCTTTCATACTCTTTGGACATACTGCTAGAAGAAGCTAGTCTTTGGAAAGAGACATCATGCTTGGGAAAGTAGCGGGTCAGTGAAAGAGAGCAAGACCCTCAACGAGATGAACGGACACAGGGACTGTGGCAATAGGCTCAGGTGTGTCAGAGAGGATGAGGATGGCACAGGATACAGAAGGGTTCAGATCTGTTGTTCATAGGGTCTCTATTAATCATACTCAACAGCACTTAACCACAAGACATGATCAGTGCCATCTGGAGCAGCTTTCTGTATTCATATATACTCAAATTTCTATGGTAAAATGCATGGCATTTTATACAGCGTGAGATAAAGACTATAAATACCCAAATGTGCATTTGTATCAAGAGGTCTTCCTTCTATATGTATGGATAGTATCTGTGGTGTCAGAAACCTTGAAAATTGGCTTTTTTAGTATTAGCCCCCATTGCGGAAATGGTCTCCAGCTACCTTAACTATGGACACATGATCTTGGAAGTCATCAACAGCTGTGGAACCAATAGAAGGCAGAACACTACTACTATGGAGAGACCGTGGATGGTGGTGGAGAGAATGCAGAGATTGTGGCACTATGGTGAAGTAACTATGGCAAAGTGTAGCCTGAGAAACATTAGAGATACTGCCAAAGATAAAGGTTTTGCTTGTAAAAGCTGGCTTGTAACTACTCTGAGATAAAGTTGCATGAGCAACTGAGAATACCAGAGGTTTATTTGAAATGCTGAACTGAACCGGGACTTTCAATAACTGAGGAACTGTGCCTTTTTAATCTGGTTTGGGACAGCTGGACTAAACTTGGACTTGACTTTTAATAGTCTGTCTTCTAAAACTATTTCCCTAATAAACTCCACAACTGTGAGTAAAAGCTGTGAGTCAATCTGCAATGAATATTCGACGCAATTACTGGTAGAAATAGGTGTAAGCAGCATGTGCGCTGGCATGTCTGACTATGTAGTTATTTGTACAGCACTATAGATATTAATGAGGTGAATATGAAGTGAGTAGAAGTCAGAGTTGGGCATCTCCTTGTTGCATCTGTTCTTTTTACAGTATTCTACCATGGAAACTCCATGAACAGTGCTCAGGTCTTTTGTTCATAGGGTCGCTATGAGTTCTCTACAACTCGATGACACTTAACAACAATAACAATGACAACATAGAGAGAGCTATGTTGGCCCAGTGGGCAGAAAGTTAAGCTACTAAGCCCAAGGTGGGTGATTTTAATGTGCAACTCTCGGGCTTGGTTTAAATTGTTTTGTTTTTTTTTTTTGTCATTCTTCTAAGTGGTCTGTGCATTGCCGTACAGAGGTAACTCATGGTTGCCGTGATGCTAAACACTGTGACACTCATTTGTCAAATGTGATAATGGTTACCCATGGTGGACAGTGTTTGATGGAGCTTCCCGATTAATACAAGCCTGGAAGCAGGAGTGGCATCCACTTCCAAAATGGTTTGCCTCCGGAAACTCTATGGACAGTGCTCAGGCCTTTTGCTCAAAGGGTCGCTATGAGTTGCTTACGACTTGATGGCACTTAACAACATCACTTACAGCCTTGTACTTCAGGACAGATATTGAAATGGGTTTTTTACTGTAAAGGTGACACCATTCTTCTTAAATTTTTCACTCCCAACATACTATATCATATGACTGTCTGATTCAAAATGGCAAATTTCAGTCTACCTCAGCTCACTGATATCCAGAATGTCAATTTTTATACGTTCTAGGTCCTTTTTTGAAAACTTCCAATTTTTTCCAACATTTATACTTCATATATTCCATGTTTCAATTCTCGATGAATACTTACAGCTATTTTTCTTCATTTTTAGTATCTCGAGGAGCCCTACCTCTAGTATTATGTTTAACCGTGTTTCTCTCAATTTGTCATATAGGGTTTTTAAAGGCCAGCTATTTCAGAAGTGGATGACAGATCTTTCTGAATCTGTCTTAATCTGGAAGCTCTGCTGAAATGGGTCGACCATGGGTGGCCTGTCGTTATTAAAATAGCAGTGGCACAGCCTCCAACGTTATAGCCAGCAAGTTATCTTAGCACAGTAGTACTTAACAAATTAAGTACTAAAATGTACAAACTATAAACAAGCAAGCCTATACATACACAAATTATAAAGTAAGCAGCACTGTACAAGTCTTTCCCTCTCACCCTTCCATTCTTCTCTAATCAATTATAACATTCAGCTAAGATTCATCTGTCATCAGCAATGGAATCCCTAGTTCCACAGTATCTTTTAAACCTTTCGCATATTTTTGGCAGTTCTCTGATGATGTACCGTTCCAGTGGCTTTTGAATAATCTTCACCTTGAAGAATTTGCTTGCATGTGGTAACTAGTGATGTTGTTGCTGTTGTTGTTATGTGCCATCGAGTCGTTTGCGGCTCACAGCGACCCTATGTACAACAGCCCTAAACCTGGCTCTATCCTGTACCAATAGCACTGCCTCTGACACACCCATTCCGATTACCCCAGTCACTGAATAAATGCACCACATAAGAGGGTATTCCCCTCTTGCGCCGTCCCTCAACCCTCCCAAGCATGATGTCCCACTCCAAGGACCCGTCCCTCCTTGCAACATGTCCAAAGTATGTCAGACGAAGCCCCAGAATCATTGCCTCCAAGGAGTAGCCTGGTTTAACCCTCTCCAGGATGAATCTGTTTGTTTTCTTGGCAGTCCATGATACATTCAGTACTCTTCTCCAGGACCACAGCTCAAAGGCATCAATTTTCCTTCTACCCTCCCTAGTCATTGTCCAACTCTCTGATGCATAACAAGTTATTGCAAAGACCATGGCCTCCATCAGGCGCACCTTAGTCTCCAGAGAGACACCATTGCTCTTGAGTACTTTAGAGAGGTCCCTAACAGCAGACTTTCCCATTGCAATACATTTTTTTATTTCCTGGCTGCTGGTGCCAAGAGTGTTGACTGTGGAGCCGAGCAAACTGAAGCTGTGAACAATCTCAATCTCTTCGCCATCCATCCTGATGCTGCCAATTGGTCCAGTGGTGAGAATCTTTGTCTTCTTGATATTGAGCCTTAGTCCATACTGAAGGCTGTAGTCCTTGACCCTCTGCAGCAAGTTCATGAGGTCCTCCTCAGTTTCAGCAAGCAGGGTTGTGTCATCTGCATAACGCATATTGTTACTAGATCTTCCACCAATCCTGATGCCACACTTCTCCTTATAGAGCCCAGCCTCTCGGATCATCTGTTCTGCATACAGGTTGAAAAGGTATGGAGATAGGACACATCCCTGGCGTATGCCCTTCCCAATTTTGAACCATGCAGTGTTACCCTGCTCTGTTCTGACAACTGCCTCTTGGTCCAAGTATAGGTTTCACATTAGCACGATTAAGTGTTCTGGGATTCCCATTCTTTTCAGAGTCAGCCACAGTTTGTTATGATCCACACAGTCAAATGTCTTTGTATAATCAATGAAACACAGATAGACATTCTTCTGGTATTCCCTGCTTTCAGCTAAGATCCATCTAACATCAGCTACAATATCCCTAGTACCACGACCCCTTCTAAACCCAGCCTGGACTTCTGGCAATTCTCTGCTGATGTGCTGTTCCAGTCGTTTTTGGATAATCTTCAGTAGAATCTTGCTTGCATGTGAAATCAATGATATTGTTCTGTAGTTTCCACACTCTGTTGGGTCACCCTCCTTTGGAATGGGAACAAATATAGATCTCTTCCATTCAGTGATATTAGTGATATTGTTCAATAATACACACTCTGTTGGGTCATCCTGTTTGGGAATGGGAATAAATATGGATGTCTGTCTGCCAGATGTTGAGCCAGATAGCTCTCCTTCAGGTTTCTTGGTATAATCTGCTGAGCATATCCAGGGATGCATCTGTTTGTTGAAATTTGTCAAATGGTTTTTTATAAATTTCTGGGGCCTTATTTTTTTGAGAATTCCTTCTCAGTAGCTTGAACTTCCTCCTTTATTACCATTGGTTCTTGATCACATTGTACCTGAAATGGTTCTGTTAGCCAATTCTTTTTGTTACAGTGATTCTTTGTATTCCTTCCATCTTCTTTTGATGCTTCCTGTATTCTGTCTATAGCATCTTTTAAGTACTGCAACCTCAAGGCTTGAATTATTTCTCCAGCTCCTTCATTCTGCAAAATGCCAAACAAGTACTTCCCTTCTGATTTTCTGACTTTACCTCTTTGCACATTTCATTAAAGTACTTTTTTTCTCAAGCTATGCTTTGAAGTTTGTTCAATTCTTTCTTATTTCTTTTGTTTGGCTTGTTGGCATTTTAACTGCAATATTCAGAGTCTCTTCTGACATCCATCTTGGCCTTTTCTTCCTCCTCTGTCTTTGTGATAATCTTTCACTTTGTGGAATACTTTTTTTTCTTTTTAAATTTTTTATATCACTCTGTACTAGCTACAATGTTTGAATACATTGTTTCCTACAAAAGATCCTTCCCATTTCCTTCACCCCACCCATCCATCTAATTGTGCAACCCCATGAACAACATCCTCCCCCCATCTTCATCTT